ATATTCATTTCCTCCGTTACTAGGAGACCTTTGGTTTTGTGCAAATTTATTATTTGTACGTCGCCATAGACCATTATATAGTAAACAGATTTCCGCATCAATGCATAAATTCATACATACATACATATTTGTGCGCATTTATATGTATGTGTAGATAATTATGTATGTATGAGAAAATTTCTCGGCCTAAACATCAAATGAATCTCAAAATAATTCTGATATTTGGTTATTTGGTTAGATTTTATGAAGTGGGACAGAACTTTTCAGTACTCCTTCGTCTGTCAGCCATAATCAGCATCATTCTCTCTTTCATACATACATATATATAATATTAGTGGTCAATATATATATATATATATATATTTCCAAGAGGATAGGATTCAGGTAGAGCTCAATATCCAGGACAGAGCAAGAATATAATATGTAAGGCTCAAACCCAAATATTCCATGGTTATAATTTATTACATTGGAATCGTAATCACGATCCAATTCATCAGACCTATAAATGAAAAAAAAAAGCTTTTTTTTTTTTTTAATCTGTAGGTCTGATGAATTGGATCGTGATTACATCGAGCAGCTGGGGTCGCTTTTTGCTGTTTGTGATGTTTTGAATTTTTTTAAGCATTTCACCCCAAGCAAGGCGCGAGTACCACTACTACACAAGGGGCTACAGAGTGTGTAAGTAAGGGAAAAGCCTGGGTATAGAGGGGCTGAGGAAAGGATAAAAAGAAGAACGGAGGAGGATAAAAAGAAGTGCGGGGATCAACAGAAGATGTCGATTGACATTACATTTAAATTTTTGAAGATTATAGTTATCAAGGGAAGTAAGTAAGAGGAAGGGAGGTCCAGTATCAGGAAGTGCGAGAGAAGAAGCTGTTGGAGTAGAAGAAGCGGTTACATTTAACTGTTTCAACAGTAAAAGGGTGGGACAGAGAATCCAACCCAGTAGCACGCTTAAATTCATGCAGTCGGGGTACCAGTGAAAATAGCTCGTCAGAGTAGATGTCATGAAAATATTAGAAAAGACAGAGGGAAACCACATTATGTCGCTAAGAAAGTTACTGGAGTTCAGTCCCCAAGTCAGGACCGATCACATTGCATATCCGTCTTTTGGATTTTGTCGAGAACCTCGAAATGAAAAGCGTGGTTACCATATCATATATGACAACAATATTCCATGCATGGACGAATGGTAGATTTGTAGATGTAAAGGATGGACCCAAACGAGAAAAACCTTCTGGCGCGACACCGAGAACCAACGCGACTTTTATAATGTTAAACTGGCTATTATTAGCCGAAAGTGAATGGGAAAATATGTTTTCAAATGCGAACCGGAAATCAGAAAAATTATTAGAAACATTAAAAAATCTTTCTTGAATTTTTTTTATTTTAGTTTTCTTTTCAAGCTAATAGATTAAATTTAATATTTCCAATAAGCAAAATACTTTATTTCAAACCTAATTTAAAATGATTTGAATGAATTTGTTTTTTTATTATCAGTAAAAACTCTAAAATCGCTATATTGATAAATTTGAGAACACAACGTAATTCTCTTTTTAAAAAAATCTTTAAAAATAAAATCAGTTTATTTGAAGAAGATTAGCTGATTTAAATTTTAGTTCATCTGATTTGAAACAAATACTACTTACTTTTAGTTTAAAATATCGCAGAAAAGCATTTTTAATACGGAGGTAGTTATTTTTTAGGAGGTGTTGAACATGCTCTCGATAAACTGATGTTTGTCAATTTTTTTCTAAGGGGGACAATTTTTTTCTAAGGGGGACAATTACTTGACAAATATAACGTGAAAGCCTTTTTATATATATATTTTTTAAACTACTCTGTAATGTTAAAATTTAAGAAAATATTCTTAGCATTTGCACTATTTACATTGTTCGGACTGTTGTCCACATCTTTGTTATCATATTTAGGAGGTTTCGGCCGTTGTACGCTCCAGCTTTCTTCAGGTGATTGACCTAAACGTAGTGAATATAACAGCAAAGATGAGGACAACAGTCCGAACAATGTTGTAAATAGTGTAAATAGCTACAATACCTCATCTCAGAAATATAGACAGATATATTCTAAACAAGTTATGTTATTGAATTTTAGGTACTTTGGCTTTATAGTCTAACTTACGAAGACGCTTGTTGAGAAAATGTTGGAAAATTATCAATAAATGTTAACTTTACTATAGATATCGCTCTTATTTTCTAATAATGTCGCATTTGGACATCTGTATCTACAAAAGTCGACACATTTGTACACACATAAAATACATTCTAAATTCTTTTTAAAAATATTGGGTGTCGTTGAATTGTAGCGAGCTTTTCCATTTATGATTAGTAAATACAGTCTTAAATTAATAATATCACTTGACCATTACAAATTAATACAGAATATTAAAAGTTTTATAAGTTTATAAATTATTCCAGTTAAAATAAAAAATAAAAACAATTCTTGTAAAAATTCATTATTCATCAAAAATATTTTCCTTAAGAGTCTATAATATATTTTATACATAAATGGAATTAAAAGCGTTTCTAATTAAACGATGTTTTAGTTTTATTGCATTTTTTATTTTACGATGCAGAGCAGATTTTTTGTAATTGGGGTCCTGCTTGACCAAAAATTTCCATGATTTACGTTTTCTGAGGATTGACTTTATAAACTAAGCACTACAAAAAATAATTTCTTGAAATTTCATAAAATTAAATAAGTGGGGTTGACAGATGTAAAAAAGAAACTGACAAAAATTTTCTTAAAATGAAACATTTCTAAAATATTTTCATTCATTTGTGAATAAGTCGTGAAAGTTTCATCAAAATCTAACAAGTATGTGATTTTTGCAAGAATTTCCAACTCAGTGTGTTTTTGAGCGCAAAATGACGCTAAAATTTCCCATATTAATTTATGGTCACTTGCTGATGCAAGAAAAACAAAATTTTTTACCCAAAATTTCTTTAAAAAAGATATTGGTCTTTCCTGTTATAACAAAGATTTTGACGATAAGACATTGTTTTATTAAGTTTAGGGCATTTTTTCATGATGTATGCGAGTCTTTGGAGGTATCTATCTATCTACACACACACACACACACACACACACACACACAAATATATATATTTGAGTTAAAAAAACGAGAAAGATCTGCAAAACATTTTTCTATTCAATTTTCGACAAAAATTCATTGTAAACCCAAGGTTTATTTTTTGTTTGGTGGAAAATGGAATCAGCTAAAATCAAGTTCAAATTCTGATTGCTGTTTCTGATATTTTATATTAATTTCTTGCTAATCAAAAAGCACACATTTTTTTTCTTTGGTTTCTCTCATTAGCAGTCATCTTAACCGGTGTATTTCTATGAGTGAGTGAGTGAATGAGTATGTCAGTATGTATATGTCTTGAATATGGATGAAAATAATATAAAGATAGATACAGAGTTTCTTTGACCTTAATATATTCCCCACTGTGACTTGACCAGAGGAGGTCATAGTATCGGAACCTGGAAGTTTTCATTATAACGATTGACGCATTGAAAATTAACACCTTTAAATCAAGCTCAAAACACATTTGATTAATCAAATTTGGTTCAACATTTAAATAAAAAATAAATAAGATTATATTTCAGCCAATGAAAAGATTAAAAAAATTAAATAAACATATGTTTCGGAATCAATTCTATGGAAGCCAATCTTATAAGGTCATTTAACACTAACAGCAGTTCTGTTAGAATTCAAACCACGGCAACAGAAGTCAGAATTGTATTTCGACATCCCTACTACTAAGACAGAAAATCTCCATCCTAACAAAAATTTGTTTTATTATATTCATATCGTAATTATTTGACATAATATGCTGCCGTCTCAGACATAGGTTTTTAAAATTAGTACCTTTATTAAAATTGTTTAATTACAGTGAGTTATAGAAGATATAAAGAAGATCGATATCGACTATGTGAAATATAGAAAAAATATAAAGAGAGGTATATAGGAAACTTGTAAAGACTGCTACACTAATATTTCAATCATCGCGCTAATCAATTTGCAAAATATGATATTGTACACTATTTTCAGAAGTATTTTTCATTTAAGTATTTACCAATTAATATAATCACAAGAAAAGATAATGAAGAATTTCACAATTCCCCGACACTTATTTAAAAAAATATCACATTATAAATATATATTAGTTAGAAACCTATATCAATATCGTAAAACATTTTATGTTAGAAAAAAGAAAATCACTTAACTGAGACTAATTATCATAAATGCTCTAATATAATCCGGATTTGTATGTACGAACCGAATTTCTTAATTTTTAAATTATTGAAATATTCTGAATATTTATTAAATTATGATTCATAGTTTTTTTTAATTTATTTCTGATTATGATATATTTCTGATTAATTAAAATTATCACATGGATTATGAGCATGTAAGACATTGATCCTATTATCTGGAAAGTTCATGCTTAACACGTATTTAAAATTATTTAATCGTTAATATAATTCTATAAAATTTTTATTCTCTGTCGCGTTAGGCGCCAGAATTTCGAAGAAAATGACGAAAACAATAAGTAACTTTGGTAGTGAATAAATAAAATGGCACGTGTTATCATAAAAAGAATATATTCTTATTTTAAAATGTGAGTAAATCATTTCTTACTGATTTCAATTTGTTACATGCATAATAATTTTGGAATACTTTTACTCGTCTTTTAAGGCAAAATATTCTTTTTGAATACACCCAAGCCATTGACAAGTATATACTTCACGAATGTGCTCTTGTACTATAGTGGGACGAGTCCAACAAATTCTGTTTTATAGATTCAAATAGTAGAGAAGATTTTTATGTTACAAAATGTTATTTGATTTGTTTTTAACAATTTGATTTGGTCTCATGTTTAGGACTAGGATACTCCTTGGTGTATGTTTCGGCTTTGGTTGCTCTGGGTAAATACTTTCCGAGCAATAATAGCACAGTTTTTGTGATTTCCACAATGGGCTCACCATTCGGAATTATGATTTTTCCGCTCATCATCACGGAGCTCATAGAATATTTTGGCTGGCGCGGAGCTCTCATGATTCTCAGTGGAATTTGTTTAAATTCCTTCGTATTTTCCCTCCTTATGACTCCACCTGAATCGACAGTCAAAATACACAAAACTGTTGCAGAAGAAAAAAAGGAAAGCACATGGTTTGACTTTAATATTTTTCGGTGAGACTTCTTTTTTCCTTTCCTTTTTTGTTTTACTTCTACATTTTTCATTTTCTTTTCTAAATACATTCAACAATTTTTAAATGTCATCGATTTTCCCTCTTTATGCTAGAGATAAATAATCCCATTTATTTTTCAATGTTTTACGTTAAAGTTCCAATTTCTATTCTAAAATGTGAGTAAATCATTTTTAATGTTTAAATTTGCTACATGAATTATTATTTGAATTATTTTTAATCGTTTTTAAAGCAGAATATTCTTTCTGATCTGAATTTAAATTGGACAAAAAAATCTTCAACTATTGCACTTACACTTGATGTCAGCAATATCAACAATTTAAATCGAATTTTAAGATTATTGTGTCACTTTTGCCAGACCAAAATCTATTGTTTGCGCTGACAATAAACTAATGAATATAAATAAAAGGAATGCTACTTTAATCTTAAATCTTTTGTTTGGTATCATAAGTACTGTCACAATACAGAAACGTGTAGTCTTTAAACATGTAGCATCTTGAATAGTAGTGATACCGACCGCACGTAATCGCTTCTCTTCCTACATGTTCTCTAAATAGGCTGCTTAGAAAAAAAGATCAGCTTAAAAAAATACTTTTAAGGAGAAATATCCAAAAACAAGCAAAGCACAAAACAGTAATGACTAGTCCTGGACTTGCTACCGTAAGCAGAACCTCCTTATTGCTTCAATAAGGTCAGAGATATTCCCTGATGAAATGATGGAGAGGACTAGATAATTTTTGTCCATTCTCCATACGTACGCATAAAAACCTTGAGTCACAATTCCATTCAAGTGAGAAGATTAATATCAGATTATTGCAAAAGTTTGTGCTCGATTTTCATTAAAATGATTGGAACTTAAAACACTGGTGTTTGTTTTGGCGTTGATTTTTGGTGTGTTTGTAATTGAAACCTTACACCATTCAGTTGTGATTGAGACTCTTGTTGAATGTTGACGTTTTGTCCACAAATGCCTTAAAGATGGAGGATGAAAAGTTGCACTTTCGACTTATGAATTTTGAAAAGGAATAAAGCCTCAGAACTGTGACAAAAGCTCGTGAGACAGTCAAAAATTAGTTTGGTAGATTTCGTCAGGCTGATGTTAACCTAAACGAACAATCACACCCCGGGCGAACTTTTGACGTCGATGAAGACGCTCTGCTTGCTATTGTGGAGAATAAACCAAAGATTTCTATGGAAGAGACTGCTAAGTGTTTGAAAATCGATATCTCAACTGCCTTTCGCCAATAACAACACGTAAGTGCCACATTCTCTGACTTAACAGAACAAGTTGGATGAGGTTTTCTTTCATTGCAGTTACACCAAGGAGTTGTTCTTGGAAAAATTGTCATATGCAATGAAAAATGGATAGTTTATGATAACATTCAACGCAATCGAAACTGAAAACAAGTTTGAGAATGTACAGAACACTGGCTAAAGCGGGTTTGCACACAATGAAGGTGTTGCTGTCCGTTTGATGGGATTGCAGAGGGATAATTAACTTTGAGCTTCTTCCAGTCGACGAGACAATAATTGTAAAGAAGTATTGCGACCAACTCACCAATATCAATGCGGCTATTCTAGAAAAATGGCCGATTTTGACAAATCGAAAAGGTGTCATTTTCGACCACTACAATAAAAAACAGATCATACAGAAGCTTAAACAATTGAAATGGGAAGCCCTCCAGCACCCGCCATATTCTTCTAATTGGCTTCTTCGGATTTTCATTTATTCCGGTTTCTACAGAACAGTTTAAATGACAAAAAAAATCTGATTCTGTACAGTCAGTCGAAAAGTACCTCATTACCTTCTCCCAACAAAAAACACGAAGTTTCTACGAAAATGGCATCAACAAGCTTGTAGAATGGTGGAAGATAGTCGTTAATAACAATGGAGACTATGTGTTTGACTAATAAATATTTTTTTGAGTATGTAAAATTTCGTTTTTAATTTTCTAATCGGACACGAACTTTGGCAATGATCTAATAAATATCTCCAAATATCGTCAAATGAATTGTTGGATTGTTTGTTCTGTACATTATTTCTATGCCATAAGTACTTAAAAACCTTAAAAACTGTCAAATGATAGCTGATGCATTTCCGTTGTGGGGGTGGGGAAACAACAACAAAATCAAACAAATAAATAAAATAAAACTGATAACAATTAGCATTGTAATGTTGCGTACACCATTAAAGATGACTTCATTACTCAATGAGTACTCCATTATAACTTTGTACCAAAATTGAAGTTATTCAACTAAAAGGACTCTTGGTTGAAAAAGGGTACAGGGTGATTGAAAGTAACTCTCTCTCTCTCTCTCTCTATATATATATATATATATATGTGTGTGTGTGTGTGTGTGTGTGTGTCTGTGTGTGTAATGACTGGGTAATCGTTTCTGAGTTTGTCCGACTGTTAAGGTGGCTAACTAATCCATCTTGCAGAACCGTGCTCAGCCACAATTGTGTTTCTTCAGCACCAGCTTGTGGTTTATACTGCAGCTCCACTGGGCGGAACTTAGTTACAGTTTCTAGAAGAGAACATATAATCTAATGTGATCAGTAATTGAAGAAGACCAGTATGCTCAAACCATTGATATCTTGCGACTTAGTGCTAGGACAACTAGCGATGGCTTCTGATGTTTCATTTACTCAATTTCACTCATAAGGTTTTGATCAACCTTTGGCAATGGTGAGATTCGAACGAACTCGAGCGGGTATTGTAACAGCGTAGTGAGGCGAAAGAAGTTCTATTTATGTAATATTATGGGGAAGAGAATATCATTACATAACTGTAAATGAGATTATCTGAATTATATTAATTAATTTCATGATTAGCATCCCCTCCCATTTCACAGCTGGCGCTACAACCTCCTCTCCTGTGAATATAAGCAGAAATAAATATTGGTAGAACTGTTTTAGCGATCTATTCATTCATTAGTTTACTTATTATAATCTCTTTGGTTGCTGTCATTCTCTCTATAACCTATCAGGCAGTTGTATCCGAATGGAATCTGGATGGTGAAGTTACACTTCTAGCAAATTAACTTTTATTCACATTGCATTAAATGGCCAGAGCGAGTAAGCAACGAGGAAGTCTTAAAGCAAATGGCAACAAAAAGAGCACATGCCCAGAATCAGGAAGAGACAGCTGAAAATCTTTGGATATATAATGAGGAAGAAGGGCTTGGAAAACAATCCTCATAGGGGATATTGAGGGCAATAGAGATAAGGGGAGTCAACGAGCCACTTGCCTGACGAGCTTGTGAATGGATGGCGGAACGTCGTCGGGAACCTTAGCAAAAGGAGAAAAACTGCTAAGGGCCACAAGGGATAAAAAGGTACATAGAAGAAGTGTTGTTGTTATTATTACAAGAAATATACTCTAAAAACATCGTGATCACAGTTTTTATCGGAGGAAGGACTAATCCCGCAATACAGTATTTGTCATATATGGGAATGTATACACGTAAAATAAGTATTTCTGTAAAAATCGCATTTTTATGACATTTCCTCACTAAAGTCGTCTCATCTTCTTTCACTCCCTGCGTCCTAGGAGCATAATCGCCTTGCTTGGGGTGAAATGATTAAAAAAAAAATAATCAAATCAGATTTAGAACCGTTAACAACCGAATAGACGTTTTATTTGTTGAATACCGATAGTATTGATTGAAAAACACTGTCCTTCAAAAGATATAAAGGTTGGATGCTATAATAACTTATTTTTTCCCGTGGATCATTCATTTTAGAAATATATTGCATATTTTAGCTTTTACCGTTTGTGTGCATGGATATGTGTGTGTGCGTGTCTTTTCCCCCAAGTTTATCCCTTATTAACAGTGAATAAGCTGAAGATTACATACATTGTTTACTAATTCCCCCCCTTTTTTTTACTACAGATCCAAGAACTATATCATCTACTTGGTGGTTTTATGTATAATAAGTGGTTCTATAACATCAGCTTTAATTACCTTACCTGATGTAATTAAAACAAGAGGATTCACGTTAAAAAATGCGGCATTTTTTCTCTCTGTGGAAAGTATGGCAGATATTGCTGGTCGGATAATCTATTGTCAGGTTATATGTTTATCCTTTTCTGTTTTTAGACTAAAAATATAAAAAGAAATCGTATTTCAGTTTATGATTTGTATCTAATTTCACATCCAAACGAAAATTAAATTTATTATCTTTGTTAGTAATAGCAACATTTGTCTAAATTCTTTGAATTTTGCTAGGGTCTATCAAAAGTAATTTCGTTTGTACAGACATTGAATTCAAAATTTATTTCATGTTATGATTGCCTTTTTCGGCTACGTCAAGATATTCCACATGCGAAAACATCTTAAAATATTAATCGATGCCTGTGCATGAATTTTTTAAAGTAAAGAAAAACGATGCACTCGGCAGAATAGCATGTAGCTAAAAAGAAGGACCGGTTAACATCATTGGATGCCGTCAAGTTACAGTTGTTAATCAGATTATTCCTTCTAGTTCGATTCCCTAACGAAGGCTAACCCTGCTCCAACACTCCTAGCAAGCTTGCTGCACTCTTTGATAGATCTTGATTTTAATCCCGCTGAGAGTCTAGCAACCCTCCTTACCAGAAAAGCCTGATGGGGGAACCGGTTTAGTCGCAGATAACCCTACCATGCGGCAGGTTACATGCTTCCAGTAGCATTCATAGAGTGATTTGACTATATCATGTACACATCCAAATACTCTCTATGACTCTACTATATTAATGATACCATTATTATAGATATATCTTTTCTTGTAGATGTTATAATCACGTATAGAAATATTGAGATTCTGGCTATTTTGAAACATTATTTTAAATAAATTCTAGAATTCGCCCCAAACTGGTTTTGAGCATTTTAACGCTGATAACTTGTCCGTTGAAATAAAACCTAGAAGTGGAAGACCATCAGCTGTCAATGCCGTAAAAGGCAACAGAGATGGGTACTCAAAAACCTTCAGAAGAGCGCGCATCATTGAAAGAAAGAACATTACAAATGCTTCAATAATGAAATGGTGAAGAAAAAACAAAAATACTTTTGATACACCACAAAACATACTGAGATATCCATTACTTCACACAAATAATCATCATTCCAATAAAAGAGACAGAATTATTGACTCTGTATTTCTGGAATAAAAGAAAAATTAGAAGGGCAGTTTACAATTACGTAGTCATAGGCTTAATTTATGACACTTTTTAATTGACAAATGAGATAATAATAATAATGTATTTATCATTTTCCTTTTCAGTTATCCTGTTTTCAGCGTTTGACAAGCAAAATGTTATTCTTTGCAGCAAGCATACTATTTTCAGTTTCGCTTATTATCTTTCCAAATCTCAGTGATAGCATCTCCTTATATTCCGGAACTTGTTTTATTGGCATTACTGCGGGAATGATTTTATCAGTTTATAACTTGGTTGTGCTTGACATTATTGGACCAGAGAAATATGCTACTGCTATGGGATTTGCCGAAAGTATGTGTGGAATTGGAAATATTATTCTGGGAGCAGTCATTGGTAAGTTTAATGCATAAATATAAATTAACACAAAGATGTATAAAATTGTTATAGAAATATGTTAAACTACCTTTTTAAATTTCAAATAGAATTCTTGCTGCATGTTAAATTTATTTGTGTAAAATAAACATTAATGAAAAATTATATTAAAACGCCTGTAAATGGCCACAATTCTATAGAGAATGATAATATATGATTTTGGCATCCCTAGGTCGGGCAGTGTGTACTTGGACTCGGTGGAAATGGGGGGGGGGAGCAATAACTGAACATTTCTAAATAATAATAAAAAAAAAGAACGAGACGATATCCGTAGACATGAGCAGTGGAACGCGAACAATCTACACCCGTAGATTAAATAAAGGGTTCAGTTCAGAATTCCTTGAATGTTACCCAAACCGATATACACCTGAGAAAGGCCAGAGTGCACAACAACCAAAATGTTGTGATAACAACAACAAAGTCCGCATATAAATAGTGTAAATAATGGTATTATGAGATTATGAATAACTTTCAATTCCCTAAAGACTGTTCAGATACGATTAAAAAGTAAATTGGTCTTAAGTTATTAAGATCCTGGGAAATCAGAAAGATGTAACTTTACTTTTAAAAGTAAATCTGGAAACAAGATTCAAAAGTGACTCTAAAATGTTTTCTGTTTTATATATTCCAGGTTCTGTTGGTGAAGCAAGCCATTCATTTGATTCTAGTCTCTATTTAATTGGCCTTCTCAGCATTGGAATTTCTGGCTTTGTGTCAATCATGCATATATTCTGTTTTAAAAGTAAAAGCAGCAAACCCAGTCCCGCAGAACAGTCAGTAAATGAAGTTGAAGGAGAGGACAACCGAGCATTTGCAGAAGATCCAAAAATGAAAAAAAATGATGATCGGAATGTTGAAGAAAGTAACTAAATTGTATTTATATGCAAAACATTGATTGGTAGTTATTTCTATTCTCATCAGTATCGGATTTAGGGCTAAGCTAAATAAGTTACCACTTACGGCTTCAGAATTTGAAAGGCCCTCTCTAACAGTGATGTAACCAGCTAGTAGAAGTGTACATATATTCTGTTATCACTTACCAAATATGGCCTCTGAAGATCCTAATAGTTAAGACTATCATGTTTAAATATTCTAGTCCTTGTTCTTATTCATCATTACAGCAGATATCAAGTAAATTTGCGAAAAAATATTGTTATAAAACAAAAAAAGTGGAGAATTTTTAAAGGAATCAACTTTACAGTGTTTATAAAACAAAAATACTTCGACAAGTTTGGTCATCAAGTTCAGATATTTTTTTCATATGTAGATAAATATTTTCATAATATAGATAAACTAAAAAAAGTTCTGTTATAAACAAAAATGAATAAAATTACATGTAAATAGAATCAATAGTTTAAAGAATATTTTTTTTAAAGTCGAGTCGAATATAAAAACAACGAATGGATAAAAAAGATAGATACACAACAGTTGGGATTCATATAAAAATATAGTGAATTTCTCGAAATAAAAACTACGAAACTTAATGTAACTCGTTATATAGCGCATTATCACGCAAATGTAATTAAAATTATTCACTCGAAGAAATTTTGAAACTAACTAAAGCAGAGATGACAAATATCTTGTCATTAATTGAACAAAATTAATGATTTTAATTATCAAAGTTGCTTTTAACATAACTGTGCGTGGCATTCATTAAGGTGAACAACAATGAAAACCAAATCTATGAAATACTTTTAACAAAATGTTTTCATTTCCATGAAATCACATACATTTTATAGTCATATTCAAATGAGTGAATAAAATCAATGATAAAAGCAGCTCTTTATTAGTTGTATTGGTAAATAATTTATTAATGGTGTGAGTGATATTCTTATTTCTGTTTTAATGATATAAATTGTTTTTGGTGAGATATTTTACAAGGGTCGCGCTGAAAATAATGGTCGCTTTTTAATATGTTATCCCGCGACGTCAGAGAGATCTGTTGGTGGCTGAACCTTCTTGCCAATAATTCATATACATTTATTTTTGAAATTGAGACGCAGTTTGATAAAATTGTGTCTGACATGAAAGTACGTACGAAGCAGAGGTGTGTCAATGAATTCCTCCATACTGGCATGTATATACATTTAAGTTCAGAAAAAAGTCGCCGCGTTAGGGAAAAGAACAAAGTGATTGTGGCAAAGAAATAGATGGTGAATTGTATCAGTTTTTGATGAGTGGTTTTGTTATTGCAGTTGGATAGACCCCTTCTGCATTTTCTTCATTTTGTCAGTTTGTGTCAGATGTTTACAGAGTCTTCGATGGACTACCAGTAGTCGATATTTCCTATCTGGATGAGTTTCTAAAGCTGACCAGGTTTATGTTGGAGATCTGGGTCACCAGAAGCGACTGTCTTTATCCTCCAAGCATTGTTAATGTTATGGATGCCTTTGCCAGCGTGTTGGCCGAGTTTGAACTAAAGGAATATAATGACACAAAAATCGCATTCATTCATTCATCTTTGCTTCGATGCTCCATAAAAAGAGTAAATAAAAGTAGTAAAAATATTCTAATAACATCTTGAAAGAAGGAGACGAAGCATGCATAATATTACCGTAACAATATAATTTTGTAATTTAATTTTTATAATTTATTTAATTCTTAAATTCATTATTATTGCAACATGGCGTTTGTTTGCTTCGACTGACATTGAGCATGTCTAGTTTCACTAAAACGGAATGTTATAATTTAATTTTTACAATTTACTTATTTAAAAAAAAATCGTTACGGTAACACAGCGCTTGTTCGCTTCGAGTAGGACGAGCATGCTTTATATATTTCTCATTATCCACTCGTAATGAAACCAGATTTCTAATAATTACTCGACAACGAGCGATTCTATTGTTATGTCCAGATAAAGAAACAGCAAAATATCACATATTTTTTTATATATATGATTGTTTCTACTATATTTTTAACTTAAAATTATTGCAATATTCTAAAAAAGATAATGATTAGTAAAGTACAGTAATGCGCGTGTATAAACCCACTTCAAATTCCTATCATAAAATATTTGAATATTGCAGTCATTGTGTATATGACTATTTTAGATGTTAGAAATATTAACTATCCTCCTGAACTAAAAGCAGAAACAAATATAAATAATACAATCGGAAATACTTTTTATATATACAATACCCTGGGATAATAGATTAATGTAGCAATTTTCCCGTAGGAAGTTAATCGCTAATGAATTCCAAGACAACTGTTCCAATCTGTGAATCAGGTAGCTATGTTATTGTTTCATTAAAATTGTAGAACTGAATTGTTACTGTTATTTAAAAATAACTGTTCTTTAAGGAAAACGGAAATTCTAAAAAGTGGAATAATCAAAAGGTCATGCAGTTAATGAAATATCATTGAGAAAACTAACATAAGGCGTTCGAATCTTGAAGAAAAAGAAAATTTATTGAAAACTGGAAATACAAAACCTTTCACGCTTGAATTTTGAAAAACTCAAGCTGTGAATGAATGTTTGATTTAAAAGAATTGACACGAAAAAATGAGCCTCAAACAAAATAACTTCCGAAGGAAATAAAAATTCGGTCAAATTCTCCACGAACAAATACAGCAGCGATGAAATGAGCTGTTTTGCAATAAGAAAGCGCGGGAATATATTAGCAAAATAAACAAAACTCGGCTCTATGAGATTATTTTCAAAACTAACAATAGAAGAAAGTCACCAGCTGCAAATTATTGACCAGAAGACTATTTAATTTTCCAAGTTAAGTCATCTCCAAACAAGATAACAGGTTTCCACATCGTTTTATGCTTCTTCTGCATGAGCTAAAAAGTCGTTAACAGTTCAGTATAACATAATTGGACCTTTTCAAAAACACTGTTCTGACTTAAATGCTCTTCTGACTCTGTTAACATTTCAGAAACGCATTTTAATTCAAATGAGATTTGTACTGAAAGGTTAATCACACATGAAACACAACCTATGAGTGACAATTTACCAGTCTTTTCAAGATTCTTTCAAATAATTGTATTATATTAACTTTAAAATTAATTAAATTTTATGACCTTTTAATTTTCTACCGGTGGAGGCACGGTGGAGTAATGGATAGCGGCTTGGATTGAGGAATCGGTGATCCGAGCTCGAATTCCAGTCGAATCCATTACATTCACTTATGTGCTAATACCCTTGGGAAAGGTATGAGTCTTCTTCTCCCTCCAGCTATGGGTAAACAGCAGGACAGACCGGGTTCTATAGCCTTGGATGGCAACTGGTCTGCCACAGAAAGAAATGACAACCTACTGTGGGGGGCAAAAATCTGCCTCATCAGTCATGTATCGAAAGAGCATGTATCACGCATGGCACATAACTGACTGAATTTTCTACCTTTTGCTGAACTACATAGCAAGTTGTGATTTGTCATTGGCTTCACACACTGAAAATAACCAAAGACAAATAAATGAGTTTAAACAATTGTTTTTGTATTTAGAAATGTCAATTAATTTAGTCAATGAGATAATGAAAATTTTCAAAAACTAATGTTATCAGTATCAATTGGTAAAGAGCAAAAGTTACATGCTGATCACTGATAATATAAAGAAGCAGGTTTGAAATATTTTGTAACTCTAGATATTGACTAATCTACTCCAAAAAATTATTTTTCACTTTCCCTTGTATATAATTAGAACAATTCTTTGGTTGTGATTAAAGACAATTATGCGAAAAATAATGGGGCTATTTACATATTGATTGTCACTTCTGTCGAGGGTCAGAGTACCTATTCACTCATCAGTGTAGTAGCCATATACTCTGCTTAACTTACAATTTAATTTTATCCTGCGATTCAGATAGCAAAATGCTGACGTAATGGCCATTTCACTTGTTTACTTATGACCTGGTCGGATGTTCAAATCCGGTCAGGATTCACATATTTATTTGCTTTAACATGACAAATATTACGAACAAAAAACATACAGAAAATATCGCATTGTTCATTAATATATATGATATACTATTTACAAAGCTTATGTCAATCGGACATAGAGATACAATAGGTGTAGTCGAACTTATTACACCCGCAATGGCATCACTTCATGGCAAGCATACTGTTTCATTTACAAAGATTCAATTGACATTACTTTGTTTCACTATTTATTGTGAATAAATAATCAATTTCCCAAAGAGGAAATGTTAACATCAATGAAAAATACAACATAATCTTTAAACTGAAATGAAACCAACTACACCGAATCTTTATTTTTTCTTTTAACCATGCTTGAAATATTGTGTGAAACCCCCTCAAATATTTAGATTAAATATAATGTAAAAGTTAATGATGTTTGTGATTATCAAATAGGCTAAGATTTAGGCCTTCCGCTGTAATTGGGTTAAAATCCTGTTCACAGGGTTTGTTTTCAGTTAGTTTTATTAAAGCGAATTTTTAAAGTGAAATCAAATTCGGGTTTTATTTTACGTGTCTCAACGTGTGTTTGTAAATTTTTATTTTTCAAATTCTATTTAAAAAGGAAACAGCTGTTAACACAGGGTGTAGCCAGATGATCTGCAGAAACAAACAAATACATTGCAGGTGACTCCCTTCCGGCTGCTATCTCTCAAGGAAAATCGGCATTGCGTTAGCTTTATTTGAACTTCTTATGAATCATGTCGTTCCGATTTTTTTCTGAAGCAGTACAGATAATATAAATGATTCGAACTTAATTTACCCAGTAAATGTTTTATTTAGTCTATTTAAAAAATAAAAAATTAAAAACTCAAATTATTTTTATGTTATTTTAAAAATAGTTATTAAAAATAAATATCTAATGGGCATAGGGTAGGTTGGTAAGAAACTATTTTATTGCAAAAGCTAAGGAATCAATTTATTACAATATAAATTCAAACAA